TGTGTGTGTGTGTGTGTGTGTGTGTGTGTGTGTGTGTGTGTGTTGTGTGCAAGAACCTAACCATCAAACCACAGACGCTACTCAACATGTTTAGTCGGAAGCTGACGTCATAACTTGTACACAGACAGCAGGCCTACTCTATGAGCTGTTGACACGGACTCCAAATTCACACCCAAAAAAATAGTTGTCGTATTATTCCGACTTCGTCTTCTTTCATATCATTCATTTATCGTCCTTATCTATTCTCTTTCTTTGTTGTTTTTGTTATTCTCTTACAGCACCTCAGATCCTCGGCACACGGTCCTATCGGAGACGGACGTTAAACTAGGAGGTCCCGCTCCTTAAATAACCTAAACGAGTTGATAGGGGCGTTAAACCCATACCATTTCACCATTTTCATTTCGGCACTTCTATGATCTTAGTGTGTTGCAAGAGCCGTAAAACTCTTACTAACACTAAAACACAAAAATTTGTTGTCTTGTAAGACCACCCATGTTTAGATTTTGGGTATATCAAAACACTACACAAATATTGGAGGGGGGGATACAGTGGAGAGAAATGGGCGGACGGGGATGGGTTACTATAGAATGTAATGCAGAGTTACACAGCTTTCCTACTAGATAAGATTAGATAAGAAAAGATAAGATAGATAAGATACATCTTTATTGTCCAGGTCCATCAAACGGCACAGCACAAGCCCATAACTTAGAATCACAAAGCTCTATGGGACATTTTTTGTTGCCATTTTGAATAACTAAGACCGTAAGGGACATTTTTTATTTTTGCCATTTTGAATTACTATGACCATGAGGTCAGAAACCAGATATTCTATCTGATCTATCAATATCGTTAGATCATAGGGAGTCGTTATCATGATATTTAAACAAAACTACATTAAAAAAAGATTGCAATGTTGTGAAACTCAAAGTTTTTAAAGTTAAATTTCTCAAAACTAGGTACTGAGCAGATAGAACTTTGTAATTCTAGGGTACCGAGTGAGTATTGGGAAGAATTTCCGCCAACTTGACCGACCCAGAAAATCCCACAAGTGGAGAATAATTCAAAAGTTTAGTTGTGCGCCACCTTATGAAAAGTGATAAAACGGGCGACAGAGTGGCTTTTTTTGTCTGACTAGAAGGAACGAACAAGATCTCTTGGCCCAAACACCGTGCGGAGATTTGCCGAGCAGACCATCACCCAGAGGAGATCAGCAGCCACTATTTCACGACTGGCAGCACACGGATATGACGTAACTTCCAGGCGAAATTTTGAAACTTTTTGGTAGGTCTACTTGGTACTTGTGAGGTAAGATGTCAGTCAGATCTACATGGGAAACATGAGGAAATAGTTACTGACTGTTCCGAGATTATTTCGTTCAGCAAGAGAACAGGAAAATATTACTGAAGTTGAGGGGGAAAAATATGATATAATATATAT